TAGTCATGAAGACCTGGTATTCACTGATGGTAGCCGGCAAGCTAAACCCCGGGACTTGGTTTGGCGAACCACATAAGGCCCCGATAGGTTAGGCGTGGTATTGAATCGGAAGACAGCAAAGCTGCCTACCACCAAAGTCTGGTGCAGTGGCGGGGCTCGAACCTCGGACGACAGAGTACACATCACGCCGCTGACAGCGATTATAGCACTGTGCCACCACCACTGATTATTGATCGAAGTGGCCGGAACCGTTCTTTACCATTTCTCTGCCTGCCAAATTCACTGTACATACTTTGAGGAATATCTTCAGCCGCAAATTTTCGCCTTCACTTTTGGTGGCTGGTGATGTAATACACTGTAACGCACAAATGTTATCCATTTGATTGAAGAGCACCGGATGCAAATATCCTTCCCACTCGTGTTCCAAAGGGGCAGTAGAATACTTTGGCATCACAGTGTTCTCAATTCCTCAAACTCAAGAGTGTATTGACCATTTCCTATCTCAGTACCGATAGATCTACCATTCCAACACATATGAAGTTCTATCCAAACCTGTTAATGATTGACCTCTGAGGTCAACCGTGTGATTCGAATCGGTTTAGGCAATGTTCTGCCGTGGAAATGATGCACGCCCATCACCGATTTCAAGCCCCAAATAACTGCTCAGCGATTGCAATCGAATTCTACACGCTGACGATTCGTTTACCATTCCAAGATTCTGGTCACTCCACTCAAACTTCTATTAGGTTCCCTGTAGCTAGTAGCATATATTTCCATACTTATGTTGATCAAGAGAATACGACTGAAATTCGAATTCACAAAATTGCACTTTGCACACGCTAATTACATAGAATTTTAGGTTTTCGGCTACAATTCGTACACAGTTCATCCTCCGATTCCGTTCATTAAATGGCCCATATTTGGTGCATATGTGGTTATCGCTTATCGCATCCGTTACAAATATCATCTCAACCTTGACTTATTTGCCTGAGCTGTCGTTCGTTCGTCTGAGCTTGCATGCGATTCCCAATTTACTGGTCGTGTGCATGCAGATGCTTTTGCTTGCCCACCGGTCAAAGGATTGAATACCTTCTACTGACAAATAATAAATAGCCTGATATAAAGTTATTCAACTGGAAAATAACGTGTACATTTCATGGTAAGTAAAGTCATTGAACGCTTTCGGGTAAACAGGTAAAGTATTTCTAAGCTCCGTGGATCTCACTTAACGTAAATCTGATCTCGGTCTGATCACTCGCTTGATTATTCGCAATCCCAGTTGAGTTGAGCAACACGTAAGCACCTTATCGTGCGTGATACGTATATGAATATCGATGCGGTTATCGAAATTTCCCGAGTCCACATCAATGAAAAACGTAATATAATCCACAGAGATCGTACTGAATGGTCCGGTGTGTAACAGATTGCGTGTTGAAACCGAGTCACTCAGACTGATGGGTGAGTGTCTCAAGGTCAAGTACATTGATTGGCAGGGTTCATGAATGCGCGAATGGGTCGTAGTGGTGAGGTGACAGGCGCGATGAGTGCGTGTATGGTCATATGACTGGTGCCTTGTCTTAGTGCATGTCGGTGTCGCAAAACCGATAATCATTGTCACGGTGTGCGTGTGTGTTGTGTGTCACATGACTGAATCAACGAGTGTAAACAAATATGCAGGTAGGATGGGCAGATGTGTGCGTGTGGGTGGGGTGGGGTGGGGGGCTATGATAGCACCTGATCGGGAAGCATGTCGGTCGCTGTCTGATGATTCATCAGGACCACATCATGAATCTTTGAGTTTACAGTGTACGTTTATCCATTGTATAGTTGAGTTTAGCAGGTGATGTGCAAGATGTTTGAGAATTGTGACCTCCGGAGAGGTAGAAGTGCTTCTGTCCGCCAAATAGAGAATAACGTATTAAAACCTAGGTAAGTGAAAGACAAAGTCCTACTGAAAGCTGGGAAGCCGTTATACCTGTAAAATAAAAATGGATCAGTTTCATCCCATTGAGAGGCTGAGAGTATTTCATATATTTTCTGCAACCTGCAGGAAACAAATGCATGATTGAAATCTTCCACCAATCAGCCAAGCCTTGGTGATCATTTGTTTGCTGGGAGCAACAAACTTGGTCTGAGGGGAAACCAATTCGGTTGTGAGCAACTAAGAGCCATCAGAAATCCCCAGCCAACCTTTTTAACTTCTAAGGGTACGAAACCTTGGAACAAATTACCATCCANTCCACAGTTATTTCAGCTATCGAATTGAGTTAGTAAAGTCCAGTTGAACAAACTGTGCTCAACACTATTCACTGAAGGCATTTGACCTCATTTGCCTGGACATCCCGCCATCTCTTATTATTTCTCAGTCGTTCGTCGTCAAATTCATGTCGACATTTTTCGTTTCTTTTTCATCCTGTCTTGTAAATCCTTGTCTTTCTTTTCAAAATTATGAATGCTTTGCTTTTCGATTGTTGTGTATGGACTTACCTATGCACATTTAAATACATGTATGTACTTTATCAGTTGGTACAGGAAAGCGCCTTGTAAGACTTCTGTATGCCTTGCTCCGAGAGCCACCGAAGAAGGATTGACCACTTCAAAACTGAGGTAGCACCTACATCAGTCACCGTACGCTGAATCAACAGACATCACTCATATTTGATGCAGTCATTCTTTTTTTCAATGCTCCTTCGGGATTGGCACATCTGATTACATAAAAGTGCAAAAGTAGCGAAACTATATCAGATCATTTATCCTTCTCCTGGGAGAAACTTGCTCCTCAATGTCAAACTCTCCACAGTCGTACTCTGGAGGCAGATTTTCATCTCTTACCGCTTGCTAATGAGTCAGTTAAATACTGCATAAGTGCAGAAATGTGCAAGGATGATTGCGCTCTTATTGGGTTGCGTGTGTATAGTTCTGACTGCATTGCTGACTATATGTGTGCACGTAAATGTTTGTCGAACCACATAGATTGTTTCATATTCGTAGACATGATGGTTGTTTGGAGCTCAAAATTGCTTTTCCTCCATTCCATCGTTCTTTTGTTACATACCGTCCATCCTTGATCGTGAGTACAGACATTGGACACAAGCAAAGCACCTAGCCTTCTAGGCAATAGGTAGATCAAATTCAGGTTTGTTTCTCACTCATTATTGATACGTTCAGTTTTTCTATCTCGGGTCCTAATAATCCGATGTTAATTATTTAGGCACCCCATTCATCTTAGGACTCGCCTAAATCTCCTATCAAGTGACTGAAGAGTAATTTGATATCTGCTTGCACTTTTTGATACATTGCCTGTTGGTCTTGCTTCATGCTCTCATCTATTTATTGGTTTGGCCTAGGTTTAGCGTGTTTGTCACGCTAGTACATCCTGTCCTCGAGTGAAATTCGAGTACTGATATTTCGAAGCTAGATTTCTTCGTCCGAAAGGATCACACAAACAAGTCTGGCTAAGAGTTCACATTCCGCTGATTTGAAACTAGGCTGCCAGGCTTCCGACTGCAAACGATGAGGATACATTCTTTAGAGTTGCAGCACAAAGGGACAGTCTGAGTCTCTACGTAATGACGGATATCATTGAGATGCGCACCGAAAAACGTTCTACACACTGGNTCCAAATTGTCCCTGACCACATTCTGTGTTAAACTCACTTTTGTATAATCCACACAGAAAACGGTCAGACCAGCACAAACGGTTAAACAGTATTATCAATGAGGAGAGATTCATCGCATATGTGAAATAAATGTTCGCATAATCCACCTTGATCTCCTGTTCGCTTCTGCTTTTACTCCTAAACCACCTTAGGGATGTGAACTAACAGATGAAATGGACCAAGAATGTTTATGATTGGTGTCTGTTGCTGCGTCTGGAAGCTAAATCTTTATACAGGTGTAAAACGAAATACTGAAGATCGAGAGTCGGGTAAAATTAAGAAAACCGGAACGGAACGAAAAAAATAAAGAAATTTCTGTCTTCCGATTTCAGTGCGTGCTGGATTTTCGGCCAGCTCAAAGAGACGGGATCACGAGGGGTGGGATGGGGATGGGGTGAAAGATAAGCGTTTTGTGCCAGTTTGTTTGTCTGTGTTTAATGGTTAGGTCACAGTGGGACGACGTGCACAGGGGAATTGAGAGACTCCGTTCTTGGTCATTATTCGAACGGGATGCACTGTAAGTTGCACAGTCACAGATACACGAGGGGCCCCTGCGAATAAAAGTTGACCCATAACGGAATACTGGTAGGTGGGACGGGGATGGTGGTGATACTGAACACGTGTTTGTTTCCATTGGAATTGTGATCTGTGGTTCAGCCCTGGAAATAGGTTCATAGTATATCTGATTTTATCTTGTGTTTTTACTCAATAAATCAACATAATGAATGTGAAAACAAACTTTTAACAAGCAGCTGGATACCGTGTACTGAAGAATGGTGAGAAATATGCGGAAGTTGTGGTATTTTTCTTGTTCTAATCTGTATTCTCGTTATCATTGTATGTACAAATGACACCGACAAACTGGTTGATGGAGACCAAGATCGAGTTCGAGAACTAGCGACAGAAGAAGACAAACACAGGGCGCGACAGAAAAAATGAACAAAGCGGTACAAATGAAGATTTCACTCTTATTACTAATGGAGGGCACATATTGGTGGCAGTGGTGGTATCAGTGTTTCGGAATAGAGTTTTCGGAAGATACATGTTTGGTTCTCTTCCTAACCATTGGAACTTGGTAACCAAGACAGGAAGATGGAGAAAGCACTAGATTTAATGCAGTCACAGCGCACAGGCATGCATACACCCACAAACATGAAACCCAGTATGCTTAGTTATTTATAAATTAGAAAAAAACAGAACAAATCAATTACACCATAAGTTTAAACATTAACAATAACAACGTGTTTCCTGATTTCATTTGGGAAGCGAAGAGAGGGGACGGTGTTGAACCAGTGAGATTGCATCAACTCTTTAGTCTGATCACATGAGACGTGTGCGTTTATCAACGACCCGAGTTGTGCTGACTTTCAACGTCGGAATGCACTGGGTCTTTGGCTCGTTCGTATGCTTCTACCACGATTACAACGGAACGGAATAACTGCAGCATGATCAGTAGTGTGTTTTTACACGTGAAAAACACATTGGAATAGCTGCGAACATTAAAATAAATGATTAAGGTCAATCGCAGTATGAGGAAGGGTAGATCTTGCAACATGAGAGACATTCCGATCGCCCACAATTCGGTCTCACAGCACAGACACGGTCTTTCGTGACACAGGAAGCTGAAAGCATTTGGACAGGGACAGTCAGAGCAACAAGTGTGCGGCTGCTCTATCGTGGCATGCTCAACTTCATCGAGTGAGGCAACGCGATTGCGCCGACGACAACGACAACATGCACAGAATCCGGTGGTTTGTCTCGGAGGTCGAATTGCTCTAGGTTGTTCAGTCACGGGGACCGGGAAATCCGGGGAGAGGAAATCTATCGAACCCATTGGCCGACCTCCATACGTTGAAGGTTGATCTCCAATTGATCGATTAGATAGATTGGAACCGGTCAGTTTGCGTGTAGGTTTACCGTTGGTCACCTCACGAAGGGCTGTTTTATTGAAACAGAACTGAAGTAAACTGGCTTGCCATAAACATAAGATCACGGTTCGAAGCAAGTCGTTTTCCCGAACAACTTGCTCATTGAAGGCCTCGAATAATTCCAGAATGTCAGCTGCAGTGCCAATGTTGATCAGTAGTAGCTGGGACAGTTGATCGCGAGTGAGACCCTCTCGGGGCATCAACCATCGACCGACAATCACAGATAACAGAAGTAACTGTTCCAAAATGCGAATTCGTTCCTTCAGTGGGAAGTTCTTCTGTAACGCCTACATGATATTTTAAATAAAAAGAGAAAAACAATGATCGTTATACATAAGGTAAGCAAAGTGGGCTAGCGAGTCACACAAGTTTGCTCCAGGTTTCATGTTATCTTATCCACCAAGTTTCATTGAGAGTGTAAAGCGCAGAGATGACTTAATAGGTTAGTAATTTGGTATGCATTTGATTAGACAAAAACAGTCTATGTTTCATTCACAGATTAGAACACACACAAGTACACGCACCACAGTTTATTGTCTGTAGCACCAAATTCTTCATTTCACTAAATGCTATCATCAGTCAAGTAATCGTTTCCTTTTCTTCATTACTCTTGCCAGAAGATAAAACAAAACATGCAAATTGAAATCTGTCACAAAAAATGTAGATAGAGAGAATGTAAAATCACATACCGGTGCCCAAAACCTTCGTGAAAATAAAAGCGACTGGAATCGGAGTATACTCTTTTAACACATGGTGACCACAATGTTCTTTATTGTCCTCTTCGACGTACTCATTGTCTAAATGACAAAATGACTGGTCATTGCGAATTAGTTGCCCTGAGGATCAATAGCAATAACATTTTTGTGTGTGTCCCTCAAGTCTAAAGAATATAAATTTGTTGGTAGTGACCGGAAACATGTTGAACTATCACTAGTCATAGGCGGTTTTCTGAGCATTGTTATATAAGTAAGATTGTTCTTTGATTCGAACCAACCCGCCAACAAATTAGTGAGATACCTGTATTCCTTTGTTTCAGTGATTGACTTTAGCACAAGATACGACAGACACGAGCAGACTCGAGAAGTTAGACAATAAATGCTTAAAGCTGTAGTAGTTGACTTCAGGTCATATGCGATCACTTTACGTATCACACGATGGCCGAAGGGCTTTTTGGAGAAGGGAGCAGGATCAGAGGTCTTAGGTTATTCATTACTACTGTGAGTGATCATTCAGGTAGATGGTAGATAGATTGCAAATGGTCACTTCTGAATATGTTAATTAGGCCGAGATCTTCTACTTAAATTTACGAAAACAGTAGGTGATTTACGAACGTTTAGTTTTTCTGAATTCCGAAGCGATGGATGAATGCCTCTGGGTCTGTTTTGACGGCTTTTTGTAGTGCCACACATGAATGCAGTGTATGCTTTAGATCATAGAGCCTCGATGGCTCATTTCTGCTACCTATACCCTATATCCGTCTGATCTCAATGTCACTTACTGTGGTAGGTATTGGCCTCCTGTTAATCTGTTAGCAACGCACTGGACTGGAGTGAATCCCACTTGCAGCACGTAACTACTTCCAAAACCCGAGTTTTCTGGGCACATTTTGACGGACTAGTAATTATCTCTCACCGAAAAGCAAATGAAGATTCATTGTTATCACTAAAGTTAATTTAAAGCAACTCAAGTAAACAACTGATACTGGAGGATGAAGTCTGTTGTATTTTAAGGGTAATATGTATAGGTAGACGTATAGGAGCGCAGACCTTGGTGTCTGTGAAAACAAGTACCTACTTATAGGGACACATCTGTCGATTACCATTCTCGTCTAAATCGTATAAATGGAACGGAATTCCATAGAAGAACCAGGCCAGTAAAACCACGAGGAACATTTCGCACAATACTTTGTTTTTGGGTTTGTCATCTGAAAATCGATTACATCTGATAACTGTACTGTTTCACTCGTTAGGCAGTTCCTTTCGAAATGCTGGCTTACCTACTCATGGACTACCAGTAGTTTGTCTGGTTGTAGTCGAATTTAAATCGAATCTATTGTCAAAGCACAGTTGCCGCTTCTAAGACTGCATATGCGCAACTAGTGTTGCGAGTCTGAAACACAGACAATTATTGAGTGAATAAGACGACCAGTTCCAAAAGAGGGAGATTTTATCAGTTGGAGAGCTTTGAAAACCCGTGAAATTTATAAAATAATCCCAGAGAGTATGGCGAAGTGATTCATGAAGAAAGGTCTATCCAAAACACCTTACTCTACAGCTCTAGAATTGTTACTCTAGGTACTTTACCAGACAGAGTGTATATGATCAAAATCATAGCAATTACTCCCTGACATGGGGACATTTTTCTCGATTGTTTACCCTCACAACAAGCTTCTGTTCGAACTCAGTAAATTTTCATTGCCTTGAATGAGTTTTATATATCAGCTCAGGGTCGGTTACAAGTTTTTTTTAAAAAATTATATCAATTTTGTGTCCAGTTTAAGAACATTATCTGAAGAATCATTTGCTTGTTTTTTGGTTGCAACTTCAGCTTCGTTTTAAATGCGTTAAGGAGCCGGGTTCCGTTTATGCACATCACAGCAAGGAAGGAACTGCTTGCGGTTTTCGCGTTCAGCAACCCAGGATGACTATATCTGGTTCATCCCAGTGGATAAAATGGTCAAACAAGTCTTATTCATTGAAAAGCCATAAACACACTGTTTTCTTTTGTGGGCACAATTTAATGAAAGAGAAAATCGTGTAAATTTTGAAAGAACACCACAAACGAATGCGCATGCGAGCCTAGAAGTGCAATTATCAATCACGAGTCGTCTTCTCATGCACAAGTTCTAAGAGGAAGACAAGGCGAAAGCTGAAGCATGCAAAAGCTGCGCGCCCATGCACGCACATGGACGCTCGCAACCACACACACATATACGCACACAGGGAAAAGCATTTCACGAAAGAGCAGTCAAAATGCTGATTTCTGTGTATTTGGCTCCAACTTGTGGTGCACAGGACGAAACGCGCGGATTGACGGATCGAATGAGTTCGTGACTGCTTGACTGACCGGCTGACAAATTGAATTTCACTACCGCGATTTCAGAAAATGAAAGAAAACCAGATATTTTTCGGCTTTTCCGATATATTCATTCCATCGAGAAAATGAAAGATCATCTTGAACATTCAGAAGAGCGACATGTTGAAAGCACCCGTGATGAGTGGGATTCAAAGCACAAAATGATAAGCCGATTCGAGCACGATTCAACATATTCAGTCGAAGTTAGAAAGCGAACTGGCACGGCACGGCACGGCACATCGCAATGCAATACTTACCATTTGTAGTATATACTACGCAAACAATGAAAGCAATTAAGAATATGAGGTTGGTTTTCAATCGGGAGATTTAAAACTCCCACGGGAGAATCATTTTTTAGAATGACATAAAAGGCTGATGAGGATTTGCAATGATGATAGTCTATGCCTTGTATGCTGAAAATGACGCTTGGAAAAGGTGGATGCGTGGACACATGTCATAGAATTATATACACCATAAAATTCTTTTTATGAGACTTCCATTCAAAGGCGATTTCGCCACTGACAGGGTCAGTTGAGTTTTGTCCTCAGTAGTGAAATCTACATACAATGCCGCTCAGCTAAGATGTGTTCTCTAGGTCACCAGACATCTGATGCTACAACAAAGATAAACTGCCTATGTTGACATCATCTATGATTATCCACCAATTCAAATGCACCTGTGGTGCGACTTACGTAGGTCGAACGACAAGGCTATTATCTCAACGGATCAAAGAACACAATCCATACTGGCTCACATAGGATGGGAGTTGGAGCTGTCAAGCTCGATCATTGCTCATCTGATAGAGATGGGATACTTGGTTGACATGCGCTCGGCATTTACAATTATTTATCGAGTTTCATCACACCTCGCGAGAGCAACGCGGTTTTGGACGCTAGCAACCGCAGGGGCGATTAGCATCCGACTCATGAAGCCTGAGTTGTGCGCACAACGCAAATTGATTCAAGCTCTCAAACTCAAACTCTCGAAAACCGCAATGTCAATTTCATTTGGTTTATTTCCATCAACCAAAAAGGTGTGTTAACTGTTGAATGCGTCTGGATTTGACAAGGCATTTCTCCACTATCCTCTTAAAACAGCACTGCTTATTTGAAACGTAAAATATTGTACGAATGGCTTTCTGTACAACTACGTCCTGTGAAAATTACATCAGATTGGAAGAAAGCGGCATAGTTTCCAGAATTAATTTCAGTTTGTAAAACTTTGGAGAAACAGAAAATAGGTATCTTTCCCAAACCAATTTCACGAAAATCATAGAATCCATTAACAAATCCAGGAACATGTCTATACTATCCCACGAGGAATATCTTACTCAGAGATGAATGATGTGCAAAATATGGTGATGAATATGTGTGTTGAAGTGTTTATTGCGTCACGACAATGCATTACACTTGAAATGTCTTCATTTTTGAACAGTGAGCATTCTGCTATCCTCGAGTACTAGGCATTCCTTCATATTCATTGCTGGAGGAACGAACATTAGAAATCATGATAAAGTGACGGAAATGCCGGATCAACCGATCTTTCGTGTTACCTCACCTAAAAGTGTTGTTACCCGGGCCGTCTATCAAAGACAATGTGGAACAGACAGCTGTGCTTGAACAGGTGCATGTGACCATAGGAACGATCTGTGACGGAATATTACAAGGAATGGTCGTCATCGGTTTTCGACAATAGTCAACTTACTGACCGGGTAGGATCGGGCAGATATTCTGTCCATAAATATGTGACAATTGGTAACAGTTCCAACGGTATACGGATGCAGTTCATCATATTACTGGCAGAATCGCGTGTTAGATACTTTGAAAGTTGTATATGTTCAGGAACAACTGTAACGAATAGGAAGTAATTCATTCTATCGAATACTGTTCGCAACCACGAATAATCCGACTGATAAAAGCACGCAGGAAACGGCTCCAAAAAATTGGAGCGTATCTCTGCTATTAGTTGGTTGCTTACTTGTAGGATTTTAGTCGCCCGGCGTGAGGTGAACCAAACCGGAACATAATTTGATGCACTCTGAGACCGGAAATCTCACATAGATTTGTTGATGATGTTCTAGGTGACATTGCTTGACTCCCTATTGTTAAGGGTTGCAGTGCTCCAAAATCAATCATCTATGCCAATTGCGCAACTATTTTAACATTTTGGTCTCGGACTGGCGTCATATTAGGACTGAAAACAAATGCAAGTATTCTGTTTCCCAAAGAAAGTACTCGGGGGACCCCAGCCCAGATTGCAATGAACAATATTGATCCAGGTGGTAAATGAACCAAGCACATTGGATCATTGTTATTCTGTGATGGAATTGCACTACTGTCATCCTCGAATGACCTTTTCTTCATTTCATTATAAAACTTGAATCGATCGTGACCCGATTTCCGAAAGCGATGTGTATATTTGTGTTAAATGAAATGAGCCGCGCGATAGAAGAACCCTTTGTGAAATTCCTGTTGACTACTGCTGATAATAAGTGACGAGAGCTTCTAAGTGTTGTGGATGAAAAGGGGGATATTGAAATATCCCCGTACTTTGGCTTGGTATTCCAGTTCTGTTTCATTTACGATACCAGTTGTTTCTTTTCCGGGGAATTTCATCTACTTTTGATGTCCAGACCGACCTTTGGAATAACCATTTTGCGAAATAATGGTATTATTTTAACTTTATCGTTTTGTTTTTGATGTTTATTGCTTGTTCTATTTCAATTTTCAGCACGAAGTTCAAAACTGATATTTGTGCACCACAAATCCTCTACTAAGAGCAGGTAAATGAACAAGATCATTCAACGCAGAGGATAGAATTAACTGCATTAAATTGCTATGAAAGCTCTAGAAATACGGTGTTTTGCTCTTGGAATGGATTGCGGAATTTAAACCGCTGCAGGAAAAGGTTTTTTACAGCTTCATATTTAGAAACCGTCTAAAATGACACAAAATTAACCATTATTTTGTTTCCTCACTAGATGTGTAAGACTAAATGTACGTCGCAGTCGTCAGTGATTCCCATAACAGTCGTTGTTGTGTATAGAGCAAAGCCTAAGATACATTTTGGTGCAAACTGTTCACAGGTAAGTACCAGTCTCTTTTTCTGCTTTCCAGGAGATTATAAGAGATAAAGAACTAGACCAACTTCAAACGTGATTATCACAGTCCGAATAAGAGAAAAAACGGAAATTTTTCTGAACACTTCTGTATGTCAATCAGCTATTCGACGGTCAAACACTGCCAAATAATAGCTTTCTTTCATGTGGTTCGTTCTAGCACTTGTACTGACCAAGATTCTTCTGACAAAAACAACAACTACTTCTCCATCACTTATAAGCAGCAGTATGAGGTCAATATTACTGATTTTGACTGACTGCGCTTCAAAATGCACTTACGCACACAACGCCCAGTTGATCTGATGGAAAGTATAACGCTGGAGTTTCGCTCTCCTCAGAACTTATCAGAAGTGCATATTCAACAGCCTGTTTGGGCTCTGAACCACTGGCATGGGTCACCAGTTCGCCAATCAGGCAACACACGGGTTGATTTACTGGGTGAGCTGTGGTTTGTGCTTAGAGACCAGTCCAACTAAAAGTAGCATTTGGAAATTCTTCTTATAAACGTTGTAAGCAATGCACTATCAATGTGTATAATTTCTGTTGACTTTACTGTTGTAGTGGATGAATAACAGCCTCCCAAAACTGCGCAATGTTATTGTTTAAAACTGGTTTAGAACGGGATAGCGAAGCGAAAATTGATGCATGCTAAGCTTGCGCTGATCATTGTCGCGTTGCATTACTTGATCGCCTCCATGAAATTAGTTCAACAGAGCCGGTGATAATTTGATCCGTAGCTCCAGTCAGGCTATTCGTTTTAGGGTGACCTTGGTCCATATACATAGGGTGTCAGCCAATGGTGTTCCAGTTTCTTTGCTTAACCGTTACCCACTCTTGCTCTTTATACTGGTCTAGTAGTTAGTTTTACTCGATTAACTGCTTACCTCTGTTCTTCAATTCAGACATTCAAAATCTAATATGCGGTAGCAAATTGGCACATATATAAGGTATCAACACCGACGGAACGGAATGTAATACAAAATGTGTGACAACATTCTGTATCAGAATAATGTAATCAAATCGGCAGTACAGCTGCTTTGAATTAATCAAACAAATTTCGTAGAAAAAAGCTCCATTAGTTAAGCTTATGTTCTCTAGACTAACCGATTTCCATAGATCAATCAACAACAAACTTTCTCAACGAACAACTGTTCCTATTCCAAATGATGCTCACCGCTCAGTGTAACGAGTTTTCCAACTAAGCGCCTGAATNCGCCTGAATAAGCTGCTAAATAAAGTGATCGAGACAGTAAGAATTTCCATGAACCCTATCAATGGACGAATCCTGGAACCATTATACTGTTCTACTGAACATATCTCACTTCCAAATTACGATGTGGTCTCTACGGAAGGAATAACATGGTATTTCATCATCACTGTTACAGCTATACACATTGAAACATTAGTGAAGTATTACCCAGTGAAGCGGGCGATTATGATTCCTCCACTCAACGGAGTTCGTATTCACAATTCACACAGATTACTAGCAAATTTACCACCTAAATGTAGGCGATTGTTATCCACCTGGGTGTCAAAACCTCAACATTCATCATGCATGCAAGGTGATCAAATAAACAATAATAAACAAATAACATTATTGTTATTAGTGTTATTGGAAAAGATAAAATAGACTATCTGTGTACTCCAGCAAACCCGTACACTTCAGGTTTTCAACACTCCTTTCGACTTCGGATTGTTCTCTTTGCTCATGGATGAAGCAAACATCATTAGTGTAACCTACTGATAGTGGCTTACGAACGCTCGCATGCTGGAATAAAACTTAACCATTTGCGAGTGAGTAATCAAAACTTTTGCCTGTACTCAATTGATGACTCGGATACATCTCACTGAGCGTGTGACAATGTTGGCCGCGGTCAAACTCCTAAATGAGGAGTGAGATATATGACTATTCTATTTTCCAGTACTGATTCAGGATCCGATTCGTGTCAATGGTTATGTTTTTATTGACTATTTAAGTTTGGCCGTCAAAAAAGCACAGAGTGTGAATTTTATCAGAAGCTACACATGCACACAGACTAGTCGATAAAATGGAGTAAATATCTCCCGCAACCTGCCCGCAAGAACTCACTTCCAATTCCACAGTGGATCGTCGTACACGTCTCATTCGGCTAGACCAGTCGCCGAAATAGAAATCGCCAGATTTAATGTAATCCTCAATATCTTCTCCCATGATCATCATGCTTTCCTGAAAGGATGAAATCGATTGACCTTTCAGATGCATTGGTAAAGAAGATTAATATGATGGATAGAAAAATTCTACGGGTCAAACACGTTAGGATAAAATTCGAAAGATGCATAACTTTTCATAAAAAGAATAAAATATTTGCAACTGATCGAAAGATCTAATACATTTAAGGCTATCAATACCAGTAGAAAGAGAAATATCAGAATATCCAATGCAAAGGACGCGTTTCACAACACCTGCTTATGACTATTCCGGTTAAAACAGAAAATCAGCTTGTTCGAAAAGTTCTGGATTACGTTTCCTCACATCAGGCAGGAGAGAGGGTTTTTTTAAATAACAATTAACCACTTCTATGTTTTTAAGGCTCCCTCTATTTG